TAAATATTTTTATATTTTCGAAAAGTCCTCAGGATTGCAAATAGTTTGCTTCCTATTAGTTTCATGATACTCTGAAATATTTCTGAAGAAGGGAGGATAGGATGAGTGAGAGAAAAAGTGATTTTTCTTCTTTTTGGGGGAGCGCAGTTTTGAAGCATTCTTGAGAATTCTTGACAATCTGAAATCATTATGTGAAAGGGAATGAATTTAAGATTGTCATAAATGTGGCTTTACCTGTGGTTTTATCTTTACCCGTAGTTTTATTTTTTTTCTCATTTTTTTAATCGTTGAGATGAAAATATTTGCAAGAAAGAAAAAGAGAGAGAGAGAGAATATTATGCCTCGTTTCGTTAAATATAACAATTCCGCTCAATCCAGAATTTATTTTCTGATTTTAGACAGAAATTTAACAATAAATTTCAATGTTAATTGTCATTAATAGTGTTGGTACTCATTTATCTTTTTTTGTATGTCTTTATTGCAAATTAACTTATGTCATCATTGACTGAGTTCAGGATATCTGTCATACGTTGAAATATCAGTCAGATTGCTTAACACAAAAGCTGTAGCTTATTTGCAGGAGAAAGAGAGAGAGAGAGAGAGAAAAGAATATCAATGCCAGTTATATATGAATGATACATTTGAATTTGGGAAATGTTTGAAGAAGTAAAGTCCTCAAAAAATTTGATCAGGGTAGATCACGAAAATATGAAAATGTTAATAATGAATAAGCAGTATTAATAAACAAACGAATAAACAAATGATCTCAAATAATTAGTAAAAAAGCTGCTGGATAACTAAATTAACAGATGGGAGGAAAAGAGTTATGAGAATTGGAAGGCGATATCTCATACTTTTGCGGAAAATTTAGTTCTATGTAATTTGAATCCTTTGTTGAGTATTTACAGAATTTTTTCCTTGAAAATAAAATCACTTTTTTTAATGAGCAAAGAAATGCAAATTTTCATAATTGGAAATATAAAGGAAGTCAAATTAATTCTTATGAACTATAAACTTGTTTGTTGACAGCGAATAATTTACCAACGCAGAAAATTCTCATTTTTTCGCTTTGATTGAATTACACTCAGCTTTATTGAAATTTCCAGCATTCTCTCATTAAAAAAACTCTGTAATCTTAAATTGTTGAATTCAATTTATCCGTACAACTTTTATCAAAAATAATTGCTGGACCAAGTCTAATGGTTAGAATTTCATTGAAATAGCATTTATTTCTTCCAAAGAAAACTGAGCAGAAATTATTTCGTCATTCTGATTCATATATATTTTAATGAAATTTGTCTTTTTTTTCTAATGCATAATAGCAGCTGAAAAGAATTGTTGAAGACAGATATTTCCGTAATTCAATTTCATACCTATTATTATTTTTTTCAATTTTGCAATAAAATTTTGCACATGCATGGTAATCTTCTAAAAATAACTTTACAACTAAATGCGCAAACTTCCGTAGCATTGACGGCGAAAGTTAATGTGTATAATTTTTTTGAGAAAAAAAATCATCGAAAAATTTTAAAATGTTCCTAAAATACGTAAAGGAAAAAATTAGAAATTAGCAAAAATACAGCTAAAAAACATTTTTATTCATCTTAAAATGATCTGTAGAAAGCAAATAAATTTTCCCTTGAAATGAGAGATTTTGTGACAGCATATACAATTTTGTCTGAGTTTTAAAAGATTAGATAGACAAAAAAATTGCTTCATAATTGAGCACCAAAGTTCAAATAAACACTTGATTTGCACAGAAAATTAATTTAAATTTACCAGTCTTTGTTCAAAATTAATTTAAATTTACCAATCTATGTTCAAATCAAAAAAAAAAAAACATCACTTACTATTTTCATTAAATCCAACATTGATATCATTTAATTTCGTTTTTATTATTACTCATTGCCTTTTAATTTTTTCGCAGTGAGTTTGCTTTCATCTATTTGCATATATTTCCCCATTGATTATTTGACGAAAATATTTTAAAAATATTTTTCTCTTTTAAAATTATAAAAATTAATTTTTTACAGTCAAAAACTATTTGTGATCCATATTCATAAATTATCAATTTGTTAATCAATTACGAGAATGCAGCAACAGTAATTTAGACCTTGCAAAAATGAGCAAACTGATAATTAATAGAAAACGAAAAATTTTTCTTCTAATTTCTGTTCTTTTAAAGATTGAATTAGCTATTTTACGATAAAAAATTAAAGAACAACCTTAGTTCTGATGATCATTTCGAAAATCTTTCATTGCAACGGTGTTTCTCGCATCAAATTTTAGGAATTTTTTAATGAATGGAAATTCAAATTTTATGGATGAAAAAGTGGAAAGATGAGACAGAACAAAATATTTTCGACTTTTCTTATTCCAAACAATTCAAAACTTCCTTTCAATCTGTGACCTTTCCATATCAAAACCTCATTCATTTTACTTGTTAAATAATAGTATCATACATTTCCAAAGGTGGTGATTAGTCTATAAAATCTGTGAATGCCACGTTGATATATTTAAATTTACATTCTTATAATTTAAATTTACATTCAATTAAAGAAAATCCTCAACTCTCATGTTTTTCAAAACGTTCTAATTTGAAATTACAAGGTACCTAAAATTACAAGGTGAACAAAAAATATAACTTGCTAAAGTTCAGCCTACTTTAAAATGACATCTTTTTTATTTTAAAAGTATCAAATGATTTTATTGGAACGGCAAGGAAAGAAATTTTATATTTCCATGCCTTTTTTTTTTTCACTTTGTCAGAAAAAGTTTCATATGAGATTTTCGATTCAATCCTATAGCTTCTTAATTTCGTTGCATCATTTTTAATGCTTGACAAAAACTTTGAAATACAAGCATTTTGTGTCAGTTTAAATTAGCACGATAAATGTCCATTTCCTACTCCGTTCACTTTTGGGTTGAGTTTTTGGCAATTAAAATGAAATTCAATATTTTAAAAGAATATTTACAACTTCCTTCTTTGTCTTTTTTTACTTAAATATTTGATTTATGTTGAATAATAAAACTAAATTTGATAAAAATATTGATAAAAAAAAGATTAAAAAAATATTCTATACAATAATACATTCTTACAAGATGTGAAAATAATCAACAGATATTTTTGATATGCTATTTCCTTACTTTATTTAGTCTGTTTTCCATTTCAAAAGATTACTCTACAGGAATATAAAATTTTGAATCCTTTAAAATACTGCATTTATTTAATATTCAAGCATCAAATAAAAGCGATAAAGAAGGAAGTTGTAAATATTCTCTTATTTAACGCATCTTTACTTTGCAACTCCAAAAACTTTACCTAATAATTAATTAAAAGTTGAACTATTTTAAATTGATACTTTTTTCTTTTCAATCCCGCAAGTTATTAATTACTTTTGTGTACTGCTTTTTCCATATTTCTCTGATCATTCACAAATTGCAATCTTCGCACTAAAACAGATTTACAAATAATTTCAATTATCCAAAGCGATAGCAGTGCAGTTGAAATTACTGGCTTATTTAAATGGCACACTTCACTTTCATTATTAATAAGAACAAAAAATTATTTGGTTATTTTATACATAATTTCATAAGAAAAAAGATTTGTTCAGATATTTCAGCAAAAATGATCATTTCAATTAAAAGCATATAAAAACATTCTCATTAGTTAAATGCATGAATGAATTAAATAATGAAATTGCCATCCTTGAATGAACTAAATGCTTTTAATACGTACTAATTTTTCAACTTTTATATGTGTTATTTCATAAAATGTCAACAAACCAATAGCAACAAATAAATTTAAACATACATATCACATTCATTTTCAATTTTCGCACTCAAATAAATTTTCTTATTGTCTTCTTTTTTCATTTATATATTCCAATTTTTCTTTTCTCATTCTTTTATTTTAGCTTAAAAAAAATAGAATAATTGCTTGAAAAAGATGGATGAAAGAACTGTTGGACTTATAAATGATAAATATATTCATTTCCTAGAACATGAAATTTGAAATTAAATGAAATCTTCAAGGCGCAATTTGCATCAGGCAGCTATCCCTTACATTCTTCCCTTCCTATTCACACATTAATAACTGAAAGTGAGGTATATACTGTAATTTTAATAGTAGGTAAGCTAGTTTTAGTAGTAAATATCCTATGCTAAAGCCTTTTTAAATTATTCTTTTAGGTATTCATTGTTTAATTTTTCGTTGTTTGTTTAATTTAAAAAATCACGAAAAACTTCGAATAAGTTTTTAAATTTAAATAAAACTTTAAAACTTCAAAAAAGATTCAATCAAATGAATTAGGATCATTCTGTACAATTTTTATGAAAACTAAAAACTACTACAATTTCTTTGTTTAAGCAACAAAAAGCAAATTTCATCTGTCAAAGATATCGCATTATTATTTAATAATTTAGTATATGAATAGGTAAGCAGCTACCTGATGATGAATAAAGCTCTTTCATTTTACTATAAAAGAATTAACTTGAAAAACAAAAAAATTACCGATGCATATGACAGCGAGAAATTTTCATCACTAATTGGCTTCATATTATTTGCTATTCTTTCTATTTTCATATCTTATTTCAGTAATTTTTTGTTTATTGTAATAACTTTTTCACTGAGGAAATTTGAAAAAAAAATATGTGAGCAAATTTCTATTTATGTCTCATAGAGTAGTTATAATCGATGAAACTTTACAAATGAATTTTATAAGAATCAAATTCATGCTAAAATATCAATAAAATTGCTTTTCTTTGGACCTAAATTTATACAGCTGAAAAGATGTTGGCAGACTTCAAAGCAAACATCCTATTGAACTGCTTTCACATTAATGATTGAATTTCACGCTAATTGTTGCACTAATTTGTATCAGTTGATAATACTCAAATGAATGCTTTTGTTTAAATTTACAAATTTTCATGAAACAGTTGAGTCTTTCGTTTCAGCACTACAGAAACTGTAAGGTGAATCAGTTGGAGTTTGCTATAGAATGACGACAGTTTATTGGTTTATTGGCATATTGCTCTTACCTGTACTTTTCGTCTGGTATGATTCTTTTTTTAATTATTGCAAAAAACGCCGGAGTGAATTAGCTGCATTTTTCATAAACTTTAAAGTTTTTAATGAAATATAATAAATTTGAAAAGTTGAATTTTTAATAGAAGAAATTTAAAAATACATTGCAAAATTCATAGCTCCCTGAAATTGAAATTTGGTTTGAATTTTCAATTTTTTGAAACTATTTTTTTAAAAAAAAATTCAAAATTGAAGCAATGTGCCAGTGGATCCTATGAAACGAACGGATAAAAATCTGGAACAATTTACATCCGCTATCAATGCCGCCCTGAGGTTGCGTTATGGGAAACGATCTGAGAATCCGAATTTGTTCAGCAATAAAATTGTCCCATTACCGTTAGTTTAACAATTTATCAGACCTGTTATTTAAATGTTAATTGTCATCCCTCTATAATATTGCTGGGAGTATTCACATTACGATTTGTAAGCAATTTTATTATAAGAATAAAACGAAAATCTTAGGTTTTCAGATTTTAAGAAGAAATTTAGTTTTAGAGCCAAGAAAAACTTTTTTAGCAATATTGAGACTCTATTTAACACAGCTAAACAGTTCAATGTTCTAAGAAAAATCCACGTAAAAAATTATTAGCCTAGCTTTTTGAGCTTTTCAAGAGATTTTCACTTAACATTATAATTATGTCTTTCTAGATAGGCAGTTCCATCATCAGTGTTGTATTTTGGTCAAAAAAAAAGCTCAAATGAAATTTTTATTTTATTTCCATTGCTTTTTTTGTTTTGAAATGGTGAACGGTGAAGACAAATAGTCGTTTTTGTTAAATTGGAAGGAAGGAAAGAATTTTGATGGTAAAGAATTTTGTGGTATAAATCAAATTTTTTAGGCAAATTAGAGATCGATATTTTGGGTCTTCGTACGATTATTTTTATCCACCGATGTAGGTATTCCATTTGAATTTTTATCTTATAAAACTTGACATTACAATTAAAATTTTTGTTTTCAAATTAGAATTACAATTTTCCTCTTGTATGGAAAATATTTTCGACAGGATTGCTAGAGAAGATGAAGATACAGGTGCGCATATCTTCGTAAACATCAAAAAAGTTCATACTACGTAAAACATCGAAAAATTGGAAATAGATTATTTCGTGATAAGAGAACAGTAGTTCTTAAATAAGCGTAGAACAGATAGGGCCTTAATTTATTGTATTCAAGATGTTATACGGTACAATAACATTAATACCTGAAGTGATTCGTATAATTTGAAATTTAAGATGTGTGATTTCTAAACTAATTTTCTTGACAAGAGTGATATTTTCAGAGAGAAAGACAAACTTTCGCAATTAGCAAATCGAGTTGTTGCATCACTGAACGAAGCAGAACGACTTAGGTATGCCAATCGCTTTGGTAAAAATTTAGATTGTCAAAAATCTTATTGACGAAAAAAATCTTTTTGCATAAAATTTAAACTAAAAGAAAATGTGATGATGTTGCATGAGTTGATTCAAAGGATTTTTTATAATATGTAAATTATAAAAAGAAAGAATTTCAGATTTGGCTGAGATCAAAATAAAATATTTTAAATAACTCCAAATGCAAAACCGATGGTTTTATTACGATAATCAAATTGTGTTGATATGAATGATTCATCGAAGTATTTTCTGTTTAATGCTAAAAGCAAAGGATTACGTCATTCTAATGCAAAATGTATTTTTGTTAAAATTGCCATCCTCGTGTTAAATACATACGTGTCGCATAAGAGCTTAACACGTAAAGAGTTGAAATTGAAATAGGAGGAACAAACGTATACTTTAAAGATTTTTCTTCAAAAGAAGTTATTGATAAAGTTTATGCCTTTATCAATTAATACTTTTATTTTCAAGATTCAAAATTCGAGAGTGAAATGCAGCAGCACATTCTGTTACAAATATTATTTTAGGATAAGTTTCAGAGAAGAAAGTTGTATTCTTCTTGCTATGCTCAATATGTTTTAGATTTATCCACTCTCATTGCCATAACTAAAATGTATTCTCTTCCTCTTGCGCTTCAGACTTTTCAAACTTTTCGGAAATTCTCTCCAATTTTAGTAGCATGCAGAAACATTTTAATTGCATGCTACATAAATTGCATTGTTTTGCATGTAATTTAGCAATATATAAATGGCTAAAAAAATGTGAAAAAAAGGAAAATTTTAGAAAAAAAATTTGTAATGTCCGAGGATTTCCTCGGACATTACAAATTTACACACTCTTTATGAAATTTATCCACTTAACTCTAACTTTACGCCTATTCATTCGAATGATTCAATGTGAAGAAACAGCAGGGGTGGTCAATTACTTATCATCCAAAAACGGGAGTGGTCAGTTACTTATCATCCAAAACGGGAGTGGTCAGTTATTTAGCATCCAACAGCGGGAGTTATCAATTAATTGGCATTCAATAGTGGGAATGGTCAGTTACTTAGTATCCAACAGTTAATTGTACAGAATAAAACAACTAAAAAACATTATTTAATGGCAGTATAATCATGGAGAACAAATATGTATATGAAATAGACTAAAAGCTATGATCCAAAGATCTCAAAAACAGAGATGATCAAAGCAAAAGAAAAAAACTGCATATTAATAATATGAAATCACGGAAGTGAATTCATGATGTCAAGAGTAGTCGGTCTTTTACAAGACCACGTTTCAACATATAAGAATACCGGGAAGCCTTTAACTCGTAAAATATTGCAGTATATTTTCGATATAGCATTTCAATCAGGATCAAACGTGTTTCAATCAAACTTTGAATGATACGGTCAAATTTTGTTTTAAAAAAAAAACTTCAAAAATCTGCAAATAAAAATAGACATGCAAGCTTTACTGAGAAACGCATACAGTCAAAACTTGCATGCATTCATGCATATTGCTGCTTTCCGACGATGTTATAATTGTAGTACCGTGTGATTCTGTTTCTTCATTAATGATCGATCCAAACTGAAAAAAAATAGTCGACTAATTGATCAGTCATTCCTTATTTGATCTTCTTTCATTCATTGCTTCTTTTCTTTTGCATTTTAAAAATGTCATCTCGTAATTTAGAGATGGACTTGGATGAAATTTGTTTCAGAAATTTTCAAGCATGAAAGATGAAAACCAGTCGTTTTGAAATATTGACTTTCTAACCGGAAGATTGATTAAGTGGAAAGGACTGGCTGGCAATTACGAGTCTCTTTCGACCAAGGTTAATGCATTGCCTTGACCGAGATAGACTTATGGTGCCAATACATTATCTAAACAAACTCTCTCTTCTAGCAGCATTCATGCTTAATTATATTCATATTAAAAAAGTATTCATTTTACCAAATTTTTGTGATGTTTTCTGAAAATAATTGAAAATTAATGAAATTTAATGCATTTTAACTGACTTTTTTGTAATTTCATCATAAAATTCTGCAGGCATAAGCGTTAATGTAACAGTCATTGGAGCATCATCCAAGCACGATTTCATTGCTTTATTCTGAAATGAAAACGAATTAAATTGGTATAAGTTAACCAAGAAAGAAAATTCTACCAGTCTCAATAATGGCTTAAAACACAAAATATTGAAAAAAGTACTAATATTTTAATCATGTTGAACGTATTAATTCTGCTGATATTTAAAGCTAGTTTTATATAAAATTTACAAATCCCCTCTTTACTTCTTCTCCCTGTTGACAGGATGAGACTAAAGCTCATTTTTTGGTTAACATAATGCAACTAAACATAAACTTATAGCTTACTCCTCTTTAGATAATTAAAAAAATTGAATTATGAATAATTTAATAAATTTAAGTGAAATGTTATATAGATTAGCAACCTTAAAAGCCATAACATTTCGTCCATCAACTTCAATAATTCGCTGATTGATAAGCAATCCATTGCGACTAGCGCTTGTTTTCTGCATCACTGCTGTGATAAGATTATCTTTAAATGAAAATCCTAACAAGCCAGCTGCATCTTTATGCAACGTTATCGTCCTGGCCAAAGGCCTAAAATAGACTATAGAAATGCTTGTAAAAAAAATCTTTTTTAAATACATGTTAATTTCGTATTTTTTTAAAACTTAAAACAATTTTATTTCATCAAACAAGTTACAAATGATTTTATCATAACAGTAAAGTAGTAACATTTATTTGAATATCTTATGCTTAATATTGACTTTTTTTAATTCTAAGTTCAATATTTCATTGCTAGATACGAATCCATTTATCATTTATTGGGATTATTTAGGACACGTCTTCTGATAATGAATGATTAAGTCCATCGAACATTTTCAACACATCATAAATTCATGTCCTTAGTAGTAAATTAGGCATAACTAATTACTAATTAGCTTCCCATTCACAATGAAGACATCAACAATTCTTTTTGGTCAGTTAAGTACATTTATATCGCATAAGTAGTTATTCTTAACATTGTGGACAAGTAGGTTATTAGGTCATTGGTAGTTATTGAAAAAAACGATCTTTATAGGCTTTCCATAATAATTATATCGCATAGACTTTCTAGAGGCCTTTTGTATGCTATTTATCTCTTCAACAAATAACAATATTTCCATATTTCCCTTCAACCACTCCTCTATCTTTTCTCCACAATTATTTCTTATTATAAAAGATTTACTATTTTGACTTATCTTCAAAACAGTAAAAAACTGTAATTACCAGTCCATCAATTGGTCAATCGTTGTGTAAAGGAAAAGAGCCTTAAATAGATAAATCTATCATCCCCTGCACATGATACCAATAATATTATTTAACTAAACGAAACGAGTTTCACCTTAATAAGCCAAAATTGTTTTAAAATGTCTGGCATTGTTATCAGATCTCGTAGAACAGACAAGTCTTCAAAATAATTAGTGCTATCAAAAGATAACAATTATTTGAGATAGAGAAGGAAGAGTAATTTTAAAATGACATTATCATTTATTTGTTTATTTATTTATTAAATTGAATGTTATTGAAAAATATGAGATTTCGAAAAAATCTTATTTTTCAAAATTTCAATCACTCGTCCTCTTTCCTATTTTTTTTGAGGAGACTAACTGTTTGTAAATGTCAAGGTACCTGTCTCTGAGAATAAGAATTATTTCGTGTTTTGATTTCTTCATGATATTCATTACCTGAAAATACAAAATTTATTACATGACAAAATTATTTTTTAATAATGCTGTAAATTTCAAGGGAAAAATATAATAAAAAGAAGAGAAATAACTTTTTGTCCAGTCATTCCAAGCACTTCGGTTCCATTTAAATTAAGCAGTTGATCACCAAATCGTATACCGGCAACTGCAGCTGGAGAACCTTCTACCACCAATTGAACAAAAATACCCTAAAACCGAATAAAATGATATTCTCACCAATTCTCATATATATTATGTTCTAGCAAAAAATTACAAAATACAGCCTTTTTGTGTGTAGATTTCATTTAAAGACTTAGAATTTATAAAAAGGAATAAAAATTTGAATAGCTAATGCTAAGAATTGAGTTCACATCGAAAGTTTCTCGAGTTATTTGCTTATTAATTGTTTCAGATTTAACATATTTAAGAAAATATTATAATTGAATTGATCAATAAATATTAAAGTATCATTTCGGTTAATTGAAAATTTCTGCAATATAAATTGTTTGGTTCGTTATCATAAGAGTTTCGTATGAATGGAAGTAATACCTGATTGATAGCTCGCATCTTCAATCCATACTTGTTACCTTTGATACGATTAAGGATCACTTTACGAACACCATGTGTAAGATTAGCTTTAGCGAGACCGGAACATTGCGACGTAATTGGCGCGATAATGCATTCATTCTCCAATGAGGTCAACTTATTTGACATATACGGTTGAATTGCTACTGATTCTGGAAGATGAGGATAGGGAAGATGTACAGCTGTCATTTCCGGTAATGGTGAAGATGATTTCTGAAAGGAATTAACTTTATCAGATTTAATTTATCCTAGAATTCCATCACAAAAGAAAAAAAAACTAATAAATGGATAAAAATTAATCATTTTCAACTCCCAAAAAGCATTATTTCATTCTGTGACTGAATAAAATTTCCAATCTATCATCTAACAGTTATGTGTCGAATAAAATAAAAAGTAAAAAAATTTTAATCTTACAAGCACAGGTGCGTGCTGCGGTTTGGCAATACTTTCAAAATATGATGGAAGTGATGGATATTGTAACATTTCTGGTGGAGCTGCAATTTTTAAAAAGAAAATCTTCAAAATAAAATTTAGATTTTTCTACAATAATATTCTTTTGTCTTTTATTTAAAAAAAAACTGAAATGACTATAAAGCGCCTTTTATTCGTTTAAAGTAATTACTACTGTTAAAAGAATTTTTAATTTTATTTTCATTTTTTTAATGGCAATTGTACACGTACATTCTTGAATTGATATATTTATCTGTTTATTTTTTTTCTATCCCTTCCTATCTAAGCTAAAATAAAATGAGAAATTTTTTATCTTTAGTTTAAAATATTCAAAAATTTTTAGATAATAGCTTAAAAACATATTTTTTGAAATGCATTTTTAACTCCTTTCAAAAATTAAATTTTTTTTAATTTAGTAATAAATTATCGGTCACAGAAGTATACGGATATTTTGATGAGTGAAAATATTAAAAATGAATAGATAATGAGAAGATGATTCGTGTAAAAGCATGCAAATTAATCACTCGGAAATATCTCTAATAATGCAGTCATTATCAATTATATCAAATTCTGGAAACATAATAAATTAATTATCTTATTCGATGATATCTATCATTGAGTGTAGTTATATTTATTCACATAATTATAACAAGCAAATCAACTATTTAGACTTCCGCCATTTACGATTTTAATCTAAGAAATTAGAGAGATAACGATTATCAAAATTTAAAATTAGGAAATTATATAAACCTGTCGACATGATGTTCTCATCGATTGCTTCATAAATTCGTCCTGCTGAAACTCTAATTCAATGAATTTTAATCAAAAATAATTTTGTTTGTACCAATTCAATTTTTGCCAAATTTTAAATTATAATTTTTGAAATTATAACTTTACTGTGAGGGACATCGATTTTACCTCACTCACTGTCTCTCTCTCTCACTCTTTTTATTTTCCTTGGTATTTTTATAGATTACAATCATCATTAAATCAATTCAATGATTAGTGAAAGATATGTAAGCTTTTCTGTTGGTATGATTCAACAATATTCGACATTAATAAGAAAATGAATAGAACTAATCTTTAATCTTTTAATTTTTGTTCTTCGCAAAATTAAAATGAATTAGGAATTCGGATATTATAATTAACATCTTTGACATTTTTACTAATAGGAGATTGCTGTCGATTGGAAGCTGAGTCAAAAATGTAATTTAAAGCAACTATTCAGTGAATCAAAAAAAAGCAAAAGAAATTTGCATTTCTAATGAGAATACTTTTATGATTGAATACATATTTTATAAGTAGCAATGAATGCTGCTAAGATATGTGTAATTCGAATTGCACAGATCATTCAGCATTCTATTCAAATTTTTGTCAAACCATCACTGCAACCTGATTATTTTGATTTCACTATAATTCATAACTGAAATTTAAATCAGAAAATTTCACCATAATAGCAAAGAATATTGAACTACTTACAGATGGAAGAATTCGATTCATAAAGAGGAGCAGATGGTTCTACGCACGAACGGAATGGCGGATCATTGTGATCGGAATAACTACCATTTTGCTACAAAATTAAATTATTTCAAATTAAAATTTTTAAACAAAATTTAACAAAAATTGTGTGATTTCGTTGAAATAAATAATTGGAATAGCTGTTGGGTATTTAAATATAACTGTTCGATCAATTCCGTTAATCCAATTTTTATTTCAAATTTGTTAAATGATAGTATCCGTAAAGACTGGCAATCATCTACTCTGCTATATTTTAGCGAATTAGCATAGAAGGGGAGGTATTCATTCATCAACGATGATAAATTCTAGGCTGATATTATTAATGTATTTATAAATATGATTGTCTATTCGTTTATTTGATAATATCATCAATTTCTTTATAAAAAGCCTTTTGAAGCTGTTCGAGAACTTATTCCACTTAATCAAATTTTTTGGCTGATACTTTATAAAAAGACACTGTAATACTTTGTAATTCACTATAATTTATTTATTAGGAAAGATGTAAATCAAAGTCGTAATGTAAATGCCTTCCAATAAAGAAATTTTTTAACGAAATATACTAAATTATAACACAAACCGGTATATGATAGCAGCAATAATTGCAAGTTTAAAAAAAATTCAGTCACTTCGCTAATTTCATTTTTAGCGAGAAATATTTTGAAAAAAATTTTTAACATATTTGATTAGTTTCAGTGTTGATTTTGAAAATAATCAAAACTGATCAAAAATATTAGATTCTATTAATTCATTTCATATGTTCGTAAATTGATAATTTACTATATCTAATCAATAATCGCCTTTTTGATAAATGCAATCGCAATTTAATCATCAATTTAAAGCCACCCAAAATTGTGAGTTTTCAAATTTTTAGGAGAAAGAAAGTAAAAACATTGCTACCTGATGTTGATATTGATCAATCAATAAATCCTCGAGAGTTGGATACAGTGGCATTTCATATAAGTAAACTAAAATATGTTAAGTATTACTGATTAAGCATATTCTCAAAACAAAGCAGCACGGTTCACCAAATTTATTAAAGCTATAAAATAGCGAAAAAAAAATTGGCGAAAACTGTTCTGGGACTTTGATAGAATAATTTAAAGTAATTTGTACGACCCTAAAGAATGATTGATCAGTGAAATTTCTGACTTTTGATGTTCGAACGAAAAATTCCTCTCCTTCCCCAACAACCTTGGCAATTCCAAAACAGAATGAACCACTCACTCATCAAATGAATAAGTCTTTCAGTTTAACCTCTGTGATGATCTGCTTAGTAGTTATCTATCTCATTCCAAATATTGATCTTTTTTTTTTTGTAACGCACCCTAACAGTACCTAAAATTTACTTATACTAACAAACACATTTCCGATGCAAAAAAAATATTAAAAAGTGCAAATTCTAACTGTAAGATATGTCAAAATTTTAAAATTTTTTCTGAACGATAATAAAATTTCAAATTAAATTTGAGAAAATTTTTCACGCAGAAACTGTTCATAGAGTAGTAATAGTAGAAATAACAAAATGTAATAAAATTGAGAATCCGGTCAATTCAACAATCATTGAGTTGAAAGCAGCTGCTGGGTTAGACGAATGGGCAGTAACAAGTTTGTAGTGAAGCGATTGACCGATCGACTGACTGACTGACTGACTGACTGATTGACTGACTGAGTGCTCGGATGCCGAACAGAGGAACGATTCATTTGGAATTGGATCGTGAATAGACAGACAAAACGAACAGAGAATGGATAAGCAGGAAAGGGAAGGACAGTAAATGAAGAGATAGAGATAATGGATTGAGAATAGCTGTTTTGTATTGTAAATGACCAAACATTAATTCATCTTTCATTTTAAGAAAATGTAATTGTGAAGAAAAATGTAAAAGAAAAAGGCCTTTTGAGGATTAAACTTTAATAATAATCTTCACATTAGCGGCTCATAGCTTTTGGTCTAAATATAATGATAAATTATGGCTAACTGTGTCAAAAATTGCAGGCCTGCAATTAATTATATTCTTTGCTCTTCAACTTTCATCGATCTTCTCAAAAGAAAGAAATTATGCGTAATAATTAATTCAAAACATTTCCTCTTATTCAAATTTTTCTTTACATATTATAGCTAAGTTTAATTTAATTAACAAATAGTTTATGGTTTCAGTAAGTTCTCAATTATTAGCATAAACAGAGTTAAAATTAATTTTCATTCATAAAAAAAACGATTTGCTGAAAAAATGAGTGAAAATTTTGTAAAGAAATCGATAGGACAAATAATAGGTACTACTGATCGTCAGCAGGCAAATAACTGGAAAATAATGTGTGCCATCTTCTTGCTTCAAACGATTATCAAATGAAAATGACTGTGAAGTGATGACAGCGCAATTGTCCGCTCTTTTTAATGTGAAAATGGAGCCTTTATATGTACATGAATGTACACGTTTATGGAAAAGTTTACTATTCAATCGTAATTTATATTATTAACTGTTTCAGCTTTTACTAGAATTATTTCAAGCTTTCGAATTAATTAAATATACACGCGCATATCTTAATTTCATACCTTTAAATAGCTATTGTTTATGATGAATGGCTAAATCTTCAAAAAAATAATTTAAAAAAATTAGATCTTCATTTTTAAAAAAAAAAAGTAAATTTTAAAAATGAATTTAGTAAAACATTTGAAATTGAAACTGATGTTTTGAAAAAGTTGAAAATTTTGATCAATTTTTGCAAGTTAAAAAAGAAGATTCATTTATATCATGGGAATGTTGATGATATAATTGATCAGATTACTTATCAGATAATTTCTAATAAATTATTCGTTTTGTAAATGAACAGCATTATTAAATAACTTAATTAACCAATTAACATATAACCAATTATAGATAAGGAATCGAGAATAAATGGAGAAAAGTGTACTAAACAAACATTTTGAGTTAACTGTCGCAGTGCCAATCGAAATACTGTGAATGAAAAATAATTGCCGCCTAAATTTCGTTTTGATTTTAATTCGATTGGATCTTTACAGTATGATCAATAAATTGATAGGATAGTTTACCTCAGTATATTGCTGCCCTTTGCGCTTCTCATTCATTATTGCTTGATAGTCAATCAATAAGAGATCAATATTATCAGCTTCAAAGACTTCTGACCTTTCTTATGGACAGCTGAGGTGTATGTGCGATGCGACGGCATTTAACTCAATATCCAATTTACGCAATGAATCTGACAAATTCTCGGCTATTTTTGCAAAGATTGCCTCGTATGATTATTTCAGATTCACTAAAAAAAGTACCACTGAACAATACACAATGCGTTGAATAACGGTAATATTCTTAAATGTAATATTGCAATTTCAGTTCTTGAGAAAA